ATTGCCACAAAATTCAGCTTGCTGTACCTGAATATCGCACAGTTTTTTACCTGACACACAAGAAGACATCACAACCTCTTCCTCTGATTATATAAAATGCTTTAATAAGAAAAATTCAAGAAGCATCATTGTAACTACCTTGTATTTTGCCTCCACATCGATCTCGACACTCTGGTCTTGGTTTATTCTCTTAAAAACAGGAAGAAGCATGCAATAATGAAAATCTAGCACCTTGTCCACTATGTTTTTGTCCCTAAGAAACTCCTGAAACATGTTTTTGTTTGTAATTAGGCAAAACATCAGATATTGGTGTGGATAAATGCAAGCACTGCATAAAAAATGAGGTGTTTCAGATGATATCAGACCTTACATTCAGTCTCTCTATGCTGATTCACTGAACAAACCTTGCAGCGACAAGTTCCACAACACACTGGACAAGCTATATGAACTTCATCTCGCTTAGAAAAATATCTGCATGCAATTTAACAACATAATAGTTAATCAACATCCATGTTTTAACTCCAACTCCAAGCAAATGGTTCAAGTCCAACAATAAAAGCTACATTCAAACTATATAGATGATACAAGGACTAAATACACAAGCTAGAATGGGAATGTATTCTCCAAAAACACTAGTTCAAACAGAACTCAAAAAGGGTAAAGATCACGCACTGTTTGTCAATAAACAAACATATATGATATATCTACTTTACAATCACAATTCAAACAGAACTAAAAAGCGTAAAAGATCACTCACTGTTCTTTATGCAATCCAAGCAAAAGAACTGCTCTTTACAACTGGAACACTTTATCAAATTAGAAGCACCGCCCTTTCTACACAAATGGCACCTTATTCTTTTCCCTTTCCTCAAATTTGCCCCAATCTTCTTACATGGAAGACCTCATTAGGGGAGGGGATACCCCACAATTAAAAAGAACCAGAAGAAATTAACTTAAAAAAAGCAAACTGAAACCAAATATGTATACCTGCAATGTACCAACAGGTAATGGCTGAATGTTCTTAGACCTAAACCGCCTTCCAGTCAATGCAACAGTACTAGTTTCAGTTTCTCCTACTTTAACATTAATACAAGAACCCGAACCCAAACATGAACCTGCATTATCAAAATGTGGACTTGAAGAAGAAATAGCCATTAACCCATTAGGCAATTCTCTCATCAAGTCAGCTATTTCTTCTTCTTCATCATCACCATCAAAATCACTACATTCACTTTCTTTTCGTTTCTTCTTATTCTTTTCAGCTACTCTTTTCAAAACCATTCTTAAAAGCTCCAATGGCAAATTCCCTCTTTTCAGCTTCATCTTACGAACAGCTTCGTCCAACGACTCAGGTTCCCCTCCAATCACACGCTTTCGCTTCATTGGCCTCGCTAATTTCAGCAACTTTGCCCTAATTTCGAGCTTGTTCTTCTCAAAGGCCTTCTTTATCCTCTTTTTCCGTTGCATCTTCATGGATTCGGGCACTTTCTGTTTCTTCTGCCGGATAGAGCCTTGGACATAGTGAAGCTCGCAAAGCTTTTTCCCTTCCATTACTCGTCGCTTGCACCGCCATTGTCTCCCGTCGGTTCTATTGCACCGGAGATGGTCCGGTGTAACACCTTCTTCCTCCATTCCCTCTGTTGGCTGATTTTCCAGTAAAAATCGAATCTTTTCCCGGAAAATAATGGGATTCTCGAGAAGAAAAAAACAGGGAAACGATCTGGGTTAAGAGTAGAAAGAGGAGAAAGCTGGTTTTTGGAAGGGTTAAGGGTTTATTGGGAGTAGTGGAGTGAAAGAGTGAAAAGGAAAGCGGCAGATACTGTAATTTTGAGGAAATATAAAGTCCTGTTTGGTCCGGGAAGCTTTCCAAATGGTGCAAGGAGAGGAAGCTTTGATCGGGAAGCTTGACAGTTTGAGACAATTAAGGGGGAGACTATTTTCGGGTTTTTCTCAAAAATTGCAACTTTTTTTTCAATTTTTATTTTTAGTAATAAGCATTAAGTGAGATATTTATTGCAGATACTGAAACGTTTCTTTTAGGTTTTGTTTGAACATTTCTGGTATTTTTTTGTGTGATATCATATTAAGAAATCATATGAATGTTGCAGAATTTGAGTATGCACCAGTTGATTATGGCCATTGCCAACTGCAGTAAGCAGTTTGAATCTGCAACATTGTAGTAAGCATTTTGTGCAATGCAGTATGCCGAGTGTCTATCTAATATCGATAAATATCGAACATTTTTCCACTCGACTTGACAAAAGTAGTTAATGCTGCTGCAAAATCTACATCATATTGTATCATAGATGTCCTTATCTGAGAGAGCATTGCAATCAGATAATTGTTTCGTACAATTCTTTTTCAATCTCATTCTACATCAGATCATGAAGCAGGAAGCAACCATTCGTTTCGTAAAGCCGAGAAATCAGAATTTTCGTGGTCGGATTTGAAAATAACTTGTGGTCAATCCGATCAGCTTTGTGTTCTTATTTAAACATAGCAGCATTATGACTCCCATCCTATAGACTTGGCCCCTGTATCATGGTTTTTTGTACCAAGTAGTGATCAACAGCATGAAAACATAGCAGGATTTGGTCGAGTGCAGTGCTGGCATATTCGTCTAAAAAATAACCGACGCTGCACTATACGATGTTTCTTTCATCTGGAATCTCTAAATGGTTGCTTCAGCTGCAGTAGATCAAGGCAATTTGGATGGACTATCCACTCAACAATATAGGCACATGAACAGAAGAGGAGCCTAAGTTACATACAAGTTGCAGGACACTTAAACTTCAAATTTGATTACCTGCAAAACTGCTGGACACTGCAGCGTCTCCGTTTGACATGTTGGTTCAGTCGAGAAGCTTCAGGTTGTAGGAGAATCTTATTGCATTAAATCCCAGCAAGACGAGGATACAAGGAAATTCAAAGGGCAAACGATTTACTGCAAAAGACCATGATTACGGTGACCAAGTAGTAGTAGTAACCATTTGAATACGAATTGAGCAGCATACATGCAAATTGAAAGCCCAACGGGCACCTTTCTCTTGCTTTCAAAATACTATGGCTTAAAGACCACGTGCATAAGGCTAAAAGCCCAAAGGACCAAATAGGTTACCAGGCTCATAAATAAGGAACACCATAATTCTCTATTCGTTTTGAAAAATAAATTTAATTTTAAATTTTAATTTAAATAAGTTAATTTTTTGAATTATTTGAAACAAGTTTGAATTTATACAGTTTGATGAAAAATTAAAGCGAAGTCATTTAAAATCATATATATATAAAGACATGAAACTAAAAAGAATTAGTATTGTATTTAAATAAAATTCTAAATAATTTAAAGAAGGATTTCAAGAGAATTTATTCTTATAATTATTGATTTATGACTGATTAATTTAAATCAAATATCATAAACATCTATTATGAGATTTTTGCTATTAAAGATGGAACTAAAATCAAATATTAAGAGGGATTAACTTTTTAATTTTAAAAGAATAGACTCATTAAGTATTAATTAAAAAATCTAATTTTATTTAAAATTAAATTATTATAATATAAAAAAATAAAATTACCGGGGAGGATAATAACACAAATCTCATCCACGTAAAGTTTCCATGAGGATAATAACATAAATGTACGTAACATCTGACATCGTAATTTAATCATACTTGTGCGTATACGAATCATTTATGTCTTATTCCACCATGGATTTTCCTCTTTTTTTCCTTGGCGGCAACAAGAATGCCCCCACCTCCATGTTTTGTTCAAATTCCAGGCACCTGTGAGTAAAAACTTGATTTTGTTTTGGGGATGGGAAATTTCCAAGAATCTGAGACTGCTGTGTTGCAGTAGTGGTGGGGTCTGTATATCGCTTTTGCTTCACAGGATTCTCAACGTTGTGGTGAATTCTTGATGACGATGACGAGGTGGATCGACGTCGTTTCCTTGTCAAACTTTAAATTCTTTTGGCGACGAAAGAGCTCTAGTGGCGTCTCTATCATATATATCAGACATGGGAGCCTCTGCACTTGTACGCAAACATTGTCATTTATCACAAACACGTGAGTCCCGTGTAGGGTATATATATATATATATATATATTGCTTATTCCCTTCCCGGCTTGCCCATCTCAAACGGGTGGCTCAGTCGTCGGAACTGCTACCGAAGTTAACCACAATTGACCATTTGATCTATTCTCTCACGTATGACTCAGATTGGGCGTATATAATTCGTTTGAGGACATGCATTGTATCACTCATTGAAAGGGTTAGGGACGTTAATCACATATCGAGATGTGTAAAAAGGATGAAGTTTATAAACGGTTGCATTATACATCCTATTTAATATATTTTCTAAGAAATGAGCGATAGCGATATTAATCCACATCAGAAAGAAAAATGTCACACCTTGGAGAGATCTTGAAGTTTATAAGCAACAATGTTACACGTTCTATTAGATATATCTTTTGGGAAGAGGATAATCGCTCCCAATAATTGTAAAAATTATAAAATTATCATTAAATTTATTATATTGTTATAAAATCATCATTGTGATGTTATAAGAAATTGTAAAAGTTTGGTACATTTAATGACAATTTTGTAATACTTCAATAAATTTAATGGCCATTTTATAACTTTTGAAAGTTTAGTGACTAAAATAATAATTAAAGCATAGTTTAACGATCTCTAATGTACTTTACCCATTATTCAACAAAGACGAAATCCTTTTACAGTCCCTGTTAAAAAGCAACTGGAAAAGCAAATGTAACCCACAACTTTGCTGGCTGTTTTTTATTATTTTTCTTTCCCAAGGGCAATGGGCAACGGCAGCAGGGACCAACCAACACACATATAAGTTAAACAGGCTTGCAGCTGCTAAATACTCAGAACAAAAGATTCAGACTTGAAGACTCCCTCAACTTCTTCTTTTTCAGCACAGAAAGCGAAGTTTCTCTTTGTTTCCCATCATTATCAATTTCACTCTTCTTCCTCAACATTTTTGAAAAGAAAAAAAACTTTGACCAAAGCAAGAGTTTTTTTTATCATGGAGTGCTTTGATCTTGAAGACCCTTTCACTAGCTTGAAACACCACCACCAATCTGATACAATCTCAGCTGTTTTCTCTTCAGAATCTGATCACATGCCTTACTTCAACTACTTACAGTGTTTGAAAACCAGTGATTTCCATGCTTCTTTCAGACAGGAAGCCGTTTCTCTTATTCTCCAGGTACCCTTTGTCTGATCATCCATGGAGTAAGTTCCGTTCTTGTTTTTGTTGTTTGAGCTTTGTTTTGTTTTTGGTCAGGCTCGGTATTCTTGCAACCTTGACCCTTACACTCCATATTTAGCTGTTACTTACATGGATCGGTTCGTTTCGAGACAAGATATCCCTGTAAGTACTTCATAGTTAATGGATTTTACTGTCCTGTTTTGGAACATTTTAATTGATTGGATTTGAACTTTTGCAGCAAAGTAATCCATGGGTTTTGAGGCTAATTGCGATTGCTTGCGTTTCTTTGGCTGCAAAGATGAAAGACATTCATTTTTGTTACTCTAATTTCCAGGTAAAAGAACATATCTTTATTCTTTTATGGCGTTGGCATTGTTTTGTTTACCCTTCACTCAATGAACACGCAGAGGGAAGAAGGGTTCGCCTTCGATGCCTCAGTGATACAACGAATGGAGCTTTTGATTCTCGATGCGTTGGATTGGCGAATGAGATCGATAACGCCCTTCTCATTTATCGGTTTCTTTGTATCTTCGTTCGAACTGAAAGATCCACCATTGACACAAGCATTGAAAGGCAGAGCTGTAGATATAATCCTCCAAGCTCATAATGGTAACATATGAATAATTTCTTTCATGTAATTTTACGATAAATCTGCATAAACCGATGTTGAAAACTCTGTTTTTCGGGTACAGAAATCAAAATGTTGGAGTTCAAACCATCAACCATTGCAGCATCAGCTCTTCTTGTGGCAACTCACGAGCTATTCCCATTGCAGTTTCCATCGTTTGAAACATCGGTTTTGTCCTGTGAATATTTGAATAAAGTAGGCGATTTCTAACTCAATACCTTACTTAAAGCATAGCTTTTTACTTACTCGACATAGTGGATGAATGTGCTGTAATTTTGCAGGAGAATGTGTTAAAATGCTTTAATGCGATGCTAGAGTGCGAATGGATTGTCCATACGGTGTCGAGCTCGAGTACGAGAACCCCTGTAAGTGTTTTGGACCGCTACTGCACCAAATCGGAAACCGGGAGTACCACAAGCACCATGGCTGCTGCCATTGCAACAGTGCCTGAAAAGAAAGACAGCAAGCGTGGTGGTAAATTGATTGGTTTTTGCAGTGAAAGTAAAAGGGTGAAGATTTCCCAGATTCAACCATGTGGATAAAAAGTTTTCACCATGATTCCACAACCTACGAAATCACCAAGACCCTCTTTTTTCACCGTTTTCTTTGACAGTTTGACTAAAAACTGAAAAATTAAAAATTTTGAGGACGAGAGAAAATTAGATAATCCATTTTGTTTGATGGGTTTTCTTTCTTTTTAAATGTAAACAAGGGGGCAGCTGTTGAACAACGATCATGAACAACAAACATGGCTTCAAATGTTTAAAACAGTGTTACTTGCTGTGTTTATGTCGTGTTGTTTTGTTCAGATAGGGAATAGAGCAATGCTTCATTCAATAAGATATTAAAACATCTTTATTTAGAATCCCAGACATTACATAAAGACATCAAATTTATTATCACTCTAGACATATAAATCGAGACGGGAAAGAAGGTACTCTCTGTATGAGAAATTACAAAGAACTAGTGGGGGATATGAGAGAGAAGTGTCAGACTGAGGCAACGTTTAAGGCACGTTGATGTCTTAAAAGATTTTGGCATCTTTGTCGAGAAACCAACACAATTTTATATGCTTGGAAGCACCCAAATGGGGAAAGAAATAGCTATGTCTTTATATTTTGGGGTTATTTAGGAATTGAGAAGCTCAAGACAGTTAAAGGTTCTTAGAAATTTTGTTCTCTTTGAATGCCCATCCACCTCTAAAGACTTTGATTGATGAGCTCGTGACACCAGTTGTAAAATGTCAGAACTTTGATCCAAAGATCCAACCCCAAATCTCATGAGCAGCTTTTTAGTCTCTGTATAAAGTTGTTTCTGCCATTTCTGTACCTATGAGTTCTCTTTCACAGAGTTTTGGATTTGTATTTTTCTATGAAGATTACATTTTTCATCACCTATTTCGATTTCATGACTAATGATTAAGTTGAATGAAATCATTCACTCATGATCTATCAACAACTTAGCATAAATTCAATATCAAACTTTGCCTATATGGGTTGGTTTAGTTGGTTGAGACTCATTAATACAATGACAAATGACAAGCACTAGGACCCCAGTCTCACCGGTAACCACATTTTGCGGACGATATGGGGCTGGTGGAATGCCCCTGACCCTGAATTGGGATAGCCTCCCCTTACCTAAACTTTCACAAATAGGGAAAGAAGAATAATGGAGCTTCAGTTTTTATTGCTATAAAGGCGTGCACGAGCATACACACATGGAAATTAAGAGCTAACATCCATTCAATGTCAATGCCAAAGTCTACAACAATGCACAATATCATCTATCAACATTCAATCAAATGTGTGTGGAAGGCAATAACCTAGAAATTAGAGATTGAAAAGAGATTAGTTGAGCCAAACATCATTGTAGGAATTACCCTCATATATGCTGGAATGGAACCATACCTGGCTACTGAAAACAATGAACCAATGGCCTATTATTATGCTTTGAAGTTGTCCAATGAACCAATGGATCCCTTAATGTTTGGCTTTTCTTCAATTTCAACCAGAGGATTCGAGCTCGATGAAGGTAAACTGTCGGTAGAAATCGCACTATAGCTTTCCAGAATTGATGGTCTTGGAATATTGTCAGTAGGATTCGATCTGGATGAACTATTTTGGTTTGTTTCATCACTGGATGGCTCTGAAGGTTCGCTCTCTGGCAATGCATTCAGGTCGTACTTAAAACGTTTTCTCAAGTGAGCATGCCAATGGTTTTTAATCTCATTATCAGTTCTTCCGGGCAACCTTGATGCGATCGCTGACCATCTGCAAAATTTGCCATATATCTTCTTTCAATGGAGGAAAATCCAACAATATCTGTCTCAGAAAAACAAGTATGTTTACCATTGCTTTTGACTGTCCAAAAACAATGCTAAAACAAAGACCCTTGGCCCTCCAAAATGCTTCTAGAAACTACTTACGGAATCAAGAAACTGGCTGCCTAATGCTTACAAAACACTTTTTCAACCGCACTTTTCAAAAACACTTTCCGACTCCAAGAGCAATCCAGATTCAAAGGGTGTATTTAGCATTGCTTTTAGCTTTTCAAAACACTTTTTGATGGCAAAAGCAATGCTAAAAAGGGCTTTTGCCCTCCGAAATTTATCTTCCATCATAAGTAACTACTCAAACTCTTTTACAATCATATAATTTCTCGAAGTCTCGAACTTTCAAATTCCAGGTGTGTTTAGCATTGTTTTTCAGCGTCCAAAAGCAATTTCTGAAAGCAACAGCAATGTTAAATAAATGGCTTTTGCCCTGCAAAATACTTTTAGAAATTGCCTTCGGAACCAAGAAATTTGGAACCGGTTGCCAGATACTTCACAATAACATTTTCCAATATCTAGCACTGCTTTTGGCTTTTCAAAAACACTTTTCGATCTCAAAACACAAAATACTTTTAGGAAGTGCTTTTGGAGTCAAACCGAGAAACTAGCTGCCATGTGCTTTAGAAAAACAATTTTTAACCGCACTTTTCAATCACAACACCGATATGTATCTCTAAAACTACCAATTATGAACAATCATAACTATTTCCACACGAAACATTTGATCAAGAGCAATCCAGAGTATATTTAGCATTGCTTTTGGCTTTTCAAAATAACTTTTCGACCGCAAAACAATGCTAAACAAAGGTTTTACCCGACAAAGTGCGTTCAAAGTGCGTTCGGAGTCGAAAAGAGAAACTAGCCGCTATGTGCTCTAGAAAAAAAAAACACTTTTCAATCGCAAACTGATACTACAGAATTCCCTATAACTCTAAAACTACTTATTATGAACAATTGTAACTATTTCCACAAGGAACATTTGATTTGTAGGTTCATGTATCAATCCCTCTCTCTCAAAATCCTAAAATCCCCACATCTTCCTTTCAAATTCCAAAGATCTTAATACAAATTTTAGCTCCAAAAACCATTCATAAGTTGCAGAAACTTACCTGTTCCCAAGCTTTTCATGTAAATCAATTATTGTTTGCTCTTCTTCCTTTGTGAAATTCCCATGCTTAATTCCAGGTCTTAAGTAATTCACCCAACGAAGCCTGCAACTCTTCCCTGACCTTTGCAATCCTACAGAGTAAACAAAATACATAATTTTTTTTTTTGTAAAATCACAAATAAATAAATAAATCCAAAGGGTGTTGCTTCTTAGCTTAATCCACCTGCTGGTTTAGCCATCTCTGCCCAGTTCCAAATCCCATATCTCTTAATATAAGCAGTCAATTTCCGGTCTTCTTCAGGACTCCATGCCCCTTTTCTCAAAGCTCTAGTCTTTTCAACAGGCTTAGCCATATCTCTGCAAACAAAAGTTAAAAAAGAAACCCAGATTTTGGCTGCTGGAGTTGCCTACATGAAAGAGAAAAATAAAGAGTCAAATCAAGCAGAAAGTACAAAATTAGGATCAGCAGCGTAAGGTTTTAAACTTTATCTTGCCTTTTTTGTTTCAATACGATAATGAATTCGGTAATGGTGTGTTTGTTGAAGAAAACCTCATTGAAAGCATCGATTTTTTTGGTTAAAAAAACGGAGTATTTTTTTTAAAGGGTAATGACAAAAGACACATTCTGGTCCATTATTTTGCATGTCAAAGGGGGGTCTGACATAGGGGTTAGGTAAGTGAGGTTGATGGCGTTACCAATTCATACTTGAAAACTGGTTGCATAAATAAATAAATAAATTCGTGGCATATTCAGTAACGTTTTCTTGTGAAGGAATAGTTTTCATGGAGTTTCTTGACAGTTAAGTTGACGGTTCCTGTTAACTGGATGGTTCTGGGAAGATGCACGGTGTCTTGGTGCGTCAGAAACAGAAACACATGTTTTTCTATTTTCTTTTTCTTTTTAGAATTTTTGGGAATAGGAAAATAAATAATTTTCTAAATTAAAGAAAATATACTGTCTTAGCTAGGAATGACGTCATTAATAACAATGTTCAAAGTTATCATAAATAAAATATGGGTAAACTGCAAGTTTAGTATCTAAACTATTACTTTTGTTTCGTTTTGGTCATCTAACTATATTATTTCAAATTCATACATAACATTACGTTTTAGTTTCATTTTGATCATCTACTGTTAAAAAATTAATAGAACTACTGATATGATATTTTTTTCAATAATGATGTCTCATTACCTTACGGTAACAAGTCAACATCGACATTATTTTTTAACGACAGGTGGCCAAAATGAAATCAAATCTAAACATTAGGTATGATTTTGAGAAAAATAATAGTTGAGTGACCAAAACGAAATAAAAGTGATAGTTGAGGGTACTAAACGTATAGTTTACCCAAAATATTAATATTGAGATTTAAATTTTAAATCAGATAAATTATCTATTTAGTCATCCACTTTTTGTTGTATTTTTGTTTTGGTCATTTAATTATTTTTTACAACATACTCAAAGTTTGTGTCATTTTTATTTTGATCATACAATATTGGGTTTATCGTTAATTTAACAAAGATGATGATGTGATATAATAAAATAATATTTTTAATCCCACAATCTATACATTCTATTAAATTGAACCTAATTTAAATAATATTAAATTTGTGGCGCCTAATTCTTATTATTCGATCAATATATCAAATACCAAAAGAGAATGAAATCTATGAAATAGTAGGTGATAGAACCCAACTCCCATCAGCCCAAATCAAAAGTTCAAGCTTCCAACCTAACTGTTAATGTTGTGATATTTTGATAAAATGTCATTAAAAAATAACAAAAATCTACGCTAAAGGCTGACGTGGACCAATAAAAAAATTCAAAGACTAAGTTGAACAAAAAAAACATCAAGTTGAAGGATTAAAAAGTAGTTTTATCCCTTTAGAACAGCTTTAGAACATTCAAAGAGTACCCATATTAGGCCATCAAGGAATTTAGATAGTCGGCACAAGCTTATACATTATTTCAAAGAAATAATAAAAATGAAGTCTTGAATAGAACAGCTCTGTTTCCAACCTGGTTCTTTCATTACAAAAGAATACAATTTTAGAAACATCAAATGCATTCTTGGTGTTTACGGATTTCCCGAATCATACAAGTTTTACCTGGGGAAATTAAGAACTAGATGGGAAGTTTTCCTTTCATGCACATGGAAGCACCATCCCTGCAGGTTTCTATGGTCCGAGCTGAAAGTCCTTTGTTCTTCAACCTGCTTGTTTCACGTGTCTCCGTCAAAGAATGAACTTTCAGGGATGTTTCTAATCCTCTGATGTAGCCGATAACCAACGAGATCGTCGAATCCGCAACAGCTTCTCTCGTGTTCAAACTTTGTTGCAGCGCTCCGGCATCTTGATTGATATAGGAGGAAAACGGTGCAGCTCAAAGAATGCTTTGCTCCCTTCACCATTGCTTCCTATACATATATCACCATGACCGTGCCATGTACCGTCTTTGACATTATTCATCTCTAATGTTCTGGACTCCTGCTCCATGTCCGAAACAAGTGAAGCTAGTCAGATTTGAATTCGTTTAGTTGATAGTATCAACAGTCAAAACGAAAAAACAAAAGTTTCCCACAAAGTTCGGCAAGGATGAGAACCTGGGATAATGTACAGCAAGGGCAGATAAGATGGTAGATGCAATCATCCAATAAGTTCTCATTACCCTGCAAACAAACAATTCCCAACAATGTAAGATTTTAGTAAAATTACAACAAGAGTGTAAGATGCTGTGCTGGGAATGAGAGGTTAAAAATGCAGATAACGATCCGAATTCGCATCGGGAAATCTCAACGATGAATCGTGTAGTTGAAACTCGGGATAGGAAGTCTTGTTCATAACAAGAAAAGATCAATCAAACACAACCTTTTACCTACGAGTACATGAGATGATATCGATGAATAAAAGTTCAGTTCTCACCATAATATTGAATTTCTTTTGATTTGCATACGGAAGAACCCTGAATACGCTCCGAGAGATACGGCGAATGCAACCGCCGAATACAGGAAGCAGTTCCGGTCGGTGACGATGAAGGCAAGGAAGTTGAGGAGCACACACCAGCAGCAAGAATAAAATGAACAGTTCCCTGCAACAGCACATTAAGATTTCAGAATATATTGAAGTACAACACCATTGGAAATGTTGCAAAATCCTCGAACTTGTGGGTTATTTGATGATTATGTCTGAGAACTACCCATTTCCAGGCATGGTGTTTTGAATAAGAAAGTGGAAAAATAAGAACCTTTTACCTGGAGAAAACAATCACCCAGACTAGCCCTCCTCATGTTCTTCCCAAATCTGTAGCAGGGGCAACTGCAACATTGGAACACACATTTTCACAAACATGATACGATCAATAAAACTAAGAATCAATCGAGAGAGAGAGCTGACCAGACAGATTGAAGAGCGACACGGTGATCCTCCAAGACATCGAAAACAACTTCACCTTCCCACATCCTGAAAAGGCCACCAAAGTCGCCGTTTTCTTGATCTAAACAATCCAGGGGGCCTTCAAGTTCCCTCCATTTGCCTTGGGTTTGCGAAGCCACCGTGGAACATAGCGTGTCGACTGTCGAAATCCAACGCCATTCTCTCTAACAGCCTCTCTTCTTCTTCTTCTTCTTTGTTTCCAGTTACAACTATCTTCTCTTGCTTGTCTAATCCCGCCATTAAAACCCAAACCACGAAATTTCACAAAGCTTACCCTCACCCTTTCTTACTTAATTCTGCTTTATCTTAACGGTAAGGACAACCGCCTTCTTAACTTGCGTTCGCTTTCATTATTTATAGTAATTGTTTGGTCTAATTTGAATTCCATCTCTCCAGTTTATGAAAACTGAGAAACTAGTCCCTTTATTTTAATTACTAAGAATTTAGTTCTAAAGCGAAATTGAGAAGTCAATCCATATAACTGTAGAATGATCAGATGACATCGGTTCGATTCCATCGAATTTTCTAAATTTTTCGAAGCATTCATTTTTTTTGGATAAATACATAATTTTATATCCAAAAGAAAACAAATATCCCTTTACAGAAGTTTAATTATCCCTGTACAAATAAACATCCCTAATAAAGTAAGAGAGTAATTCATAATTAGACCATACGGAGGCCGATAATATATGTCATAAACAAGACAGCTATTGCCAGTTGGGATCCAGATTGTTTGGGGTTTAAGATTGTAATATGCTAATAATTGCTATAAGATACCTCCCCCCCTAATAATTTCACACATTGTTGATTAGGACAGATATTATAAGTCACGCGGCGGCGGAGATGTGAAACTGAAGCAAGCGGCGGCGGCCGCGACATACTGGCAAGACAATGTTAATGGAGTTACCCCACATGCGTTAAACGTTGTTATCATTCTGCTGTAATTTGAGTTTGCCAAATGAAAATTATAGGTAACTGTTAAGCAACTTCCTCTTAAATTGAAAAACAAATGGCTGCCACTTATTAGTGTCGAGGTGACTAAAATTAAATCCGATTCATAAAAATATAATAAAATTTTAAATTATAAATTAAATTGTTCGAGTTATTAGAGCTTCAAACCAATTCGAATAGCATATTTTTCATCCGGCATAAATCAATGGGCAACGAGGATTACGGCTTATAGGGTTGTTAAATTCCGGTAATAGCACGAGACTAGCTTGCTTAATAATAATCCATGAAAAATCGGCTAAGCTTCTTACTCACCATAGCTAGGTTGCTTTCGGATTGTTTGTTATGCCCTCCAGCAGCGACGGGAAGAGTTCAAACACTGTCTGATCGTATACGTTATTCCCCTTGATGATGTTCATGAAAGCAAAATAAAATGTCACCTCATTGCCGGCTTTAATGTGGAGACGTTCGAATCCTAGAAGATTGTGAAACAATGTCTCGGAGTCGTGATCGATAATAATGCGGGGTAGCTTCAGACTACCGAAAATCACACTCCTTATGAATGGAGCATCTTTGAGGCTTCTGGTTTCGCTCAACTCAAACCGGATTCCCAACTCTTTAAGAACCGTTCATGAATGTAGAGTTTCGTTATTTTGAATTTCTTCGATTGCTATAGTAACCGGTCGACGATGACCATCGTTTCCATCTGGTCCCTTGAAAACGAGGATCTTCCGACAAACATCCAATACATGCACGCATTTTTCTAGGTTCGAGACTGATCTAGTTGGAGAGGGAAAGAAAAAAGGGTATACGAGACTCATGATCACGAAGTCTTCACCCTGCATCAACAGTTAAACATTTCGTAAAGGATTGAAATTAAAATGCATATGAGAGCAACAAAACATAAGAATTAACCTCGGAATTATTGCTCTGAACTGCAACCAGCTTACCAAGTACAGCCATTGGCAATTGGTTTTCTAGCATCAGCAAATCACGCCTGATTATAGATTATAATGATCGCTTTCGGTTGTGGCTGAAGATCGGATCATCATCGGGTAGTTCAGTTCTAACAGTACTTCGGAACACTTCCAGCATGAAGACCCCATGGACGATCATCAGCTGCAAAAACTTGCTACTGTCATTTTTCCATGATGAATCAAGATCCTCATAGGAATCTATTAAATCTTCCAGCACTCGAGCCACGGGGTACACGAATGCTTCAAGTGGCTTGTTTGATCTGTTCAGGAAATGAACGAGTGCTCGTTGCTTGTGCTCCTCCATTGGTTTCAGATGATCTTCCCCATGATGATATGGTCCGATGGATACTATCTGAGGCGTCTAGGGTCGTTGCTTCTCGTTTCCGCCTATGATGCAACAAGGCACCTTATAGATAGACACTTTCTTCCTGGAAAAGCTGAATCAATACCAACCATTTCAGGCCTCTGATTGACATCTGCAATCCAATTCTGAATTTCCATAGCCAAGGGAAAAAGGGAAGGGAAATAATAAAATGAAAAAAAAAAACTCAGAATTTGCAGAAATAGATTTGGTATCTTCCTAACATGTAGAGTAACCCTTAAAAATGTCACCCTTAACACTTTATTCTTTGCTTGTGCTTTGCATCCAGAGCAGGGCTTTAAATATTCGCCACTGATGAATTAAGTAATGAATAAGTTGGGCAACGAGGATTACGGCTTGACTGCATTGGGTTTCGACTCTGAACTTGTTCTTGTCTTTCATTTATTTTTTCTTTTTCTAGTTAGCAATTAATTAATGAGTGAATATGATTGTTGTAGTCTTTTAATAACCATTCTCAGGTTCAACAAACACCATTTTCTGGGGGAAGAATTATAAAGAAATGACAAGAACTCGATGGGAACAAGTTGAGCAAGCAAATAAAAATGACATGGCAAATACTATTTTAGAAAATTACAATAAAATTGAACACTTTCATACCAGAAAAACAGAACAATATGTTGTTAAAGATAATGAATTCAACATGCATAAAGCAAGATGAAGCTTGTTTCACTTTTCTTTGGCACAAGCCAAACCAGTAGGGGGAAAAAAAGGAACTTATGTCTTAGCTGCAGGTCTCACAAGCCCCAAGCCACTACCACTTCCCAAATGCTTGAAATCAGTGGCTTCAAGATGATCCCCATGGCCAGCAAAGCCAGTCCCACCTTTTGCTAAGGTAATCAAATTCCTCTCTTTGCATGGCTTGTCACAGACCAAACAAACTTTGTCGATGGCCACGAACCTGTCAGCGCATTTCTTGCAAAAGACATGCCCACAGGAGCTAAGGGCTACCAGTGATAATGTGTTAGTCAGAGTGACCTTGCAGCTTGGACAAATATAAGTTTTATCAAGATCAGATTTCTTTTTTTCACTTTCATCTTCAGTGAAGTGGATAGGGAAAAGGGTCTTCAGCTTGAGTTTTTCTTTTCCCTCTGGACAGATTGTACTGGTGGAAGGAGCATCGACTTTAGGTGGTGCTTCTGGAGTGGCAGAGGGAAGCCAAAAAGCTTTCATCGTACGGAGTGCTTCCTCTTCAAAAGAAGTGGCCTTCACACTGTTCGCCCCATGGAACCCATTCTTGTCTCTGCTATGGTTTTTGTCATTGTATTGGGGTAAGGCGCCATGGTTTTGCTGATCAAATGCATCAAGCTCTCGTGCTTTCTCCAACATTAACCTCTCCTCCTCCTCTTCCTTCTCTTGTTTCTGCTGAGCAGCATGGGCAGCAAGTTTCCTGGAAAAGGGAAGGAAAAGATGCTTTCTGTTATCGACCCCTTAAAAGGCATTTTTATGCTGATTCTGAGCACAGCAGTTTAGATTTTTATCATCAAAAGAAAATTAGCATAGAACCTTATTGCTTAAAAATTTCCTGCATCACTTGAAAGAATTTTTTTTTCACATTGGAGACTACCGATTTATATTGCTAAATAGACAAATAAAAACATGTTACTGACCGTTAAAATTCACAAAAGATGACACATTTAAATCACACTTCAATAGAAAAGGGGAAAAGTAGCAAGGATGATCTACAACTAGTTATCCCTATGATACTAACTATCTTCTATGTTGTTTTGTTTCTTACAATATCAATTCTACCAAAGAAACACAGAAATGGGGGTCATCAAACTAGTTATCGGGCTCAATTAAATTAAACAGGACACTTACTGAAGCAACATCCTAAAATTTCTAGCCACCACTCATCAGCCATCTTCGTAAATGCAAGTCCACCTATATGATCCACTATAATACCGAGAAAATCACGTTCTTAGGCTTTGTTGAGAAATAACCCCTCAACAAAGAAAAAATCAAAATACCGTAAGGCATCTCTTTTTATTAAGTTGAATCAAGTCATTAACAAGCATTCTGGACAAAAAATAGAGTAAAATAAAAAATCAATGAATCATTTAGACAAACAAACAAGGGTTCTGGGCTAAAAAGGGATACCTTTGGATGTCCTTTTTCTGGGCTAAAAGGCATTCAAGAATGCATTCTTTGCAAAATACATGACCTTTTTGGCAAGACATGGGATCGATGAAAGGCTTCAAGCAAAGACAGCAAGCATCGAAAGGCTTGATCGAGTCTTTCCCCAATCTCTCCTTTTGAGTCCCGTACCCTAGCTTCCTCTTCTCATCGTACGTGAAGAAGGCTAAATCGTTGTTGTTCTTCGAGTGTCTTTGTGGCATTTTGGGTTAATCTGAATTGGATGGGCAAAACCCTAACCCTAATTGAATTCAACTGTAATTTGGTAGAGAAAAATAAGTAGAAATTACGAGAGCTGAGAAATTCAGAAATCAGATCGGATTTAAAAGAGGAACTAAACCTACACTTTGTTATTGAATTCTTTTATTGAAACCAAAACGGTGAGCATTGACGCATAAATTGAATTAGGATAAACTACGCTTAATGTCACCTAACTTTATGTTGTCTATCGATTTTATCACATAACTTTTATGTTTTAATTTAATACTGAGAGTTTGTTTAACATTCCATGCAAATATTGTTGTCATTAAATCAACAACAGCGTGATGATGTGACAGCTTCTTTTTTTGTAAATTTATAGTTTGTATATTGATTTTGTTATTAAATTTTAGTTTGCATATTAATTTGGCCATTATCAATTAAATTAGTATTGTTACTGATCAACTATCACTCGTTATCGATCATCATTTACGACAGTATTTGTATCAAAATATTTACATTTCACTTCTCTTTCTTTTTTTCATTGCATTGATTTGCACGAAAGTCACTCGAAACCAATAAAAATATATCTAAAGGTTTGGCAATTTAATGCTCTGATCTCATGTAATGATCATCCGATAAGACTAATTTCAAGGTATGTTGTTTGTTTTCTCAAAAGAATACTTCTTAATATTTAAATTTTCGAACAAACACCTTCAAAACATCTATTTTATAAAGTGATATTGTGTTCGAATTTAAAGAGTAAAATTTCATGTTAATAAATTTGTGAAGTAGATGAATATCTAAAAAATATATTAATTATTGTTCATAATTTTAGTGTGACGCGACTCAAGAAAATAATATTGTATCTCGTCTCGATGGTTTTGAATGGAAATGATGAAAGGATTACATTTCAGTAACTAAAGCTTCTTTCAACAATGTTGTTGGGTTCTTCATCAAAGCAGGGCTCAACCTAAACATCAAAGTGCAAAATTCCATCTCATGCAACCCACCATCTCCATTCAAATCCACTTCGCGCACCATGCAAACCAGTTCATCATCTCCCATACCTTGCAACCCAAGCAATGCCAAGTTCTTCTTCAACCTCTCGCTAGTGATCATCCCTTTCTTCCCATCCATCAGCTAACGAAACCCATAGCAAAGCTCCTTCATGAACCCTTCTGCGCCTGGCTTCTCCGCCATTGCAGGGGGGGGGGAAACCCTCGAACACAATCTCATCTCGAATAACAAAGGCAAAAGAAGGAAAATAACCCTAGAAAATGCTTCCAGTGGCATGCAGTATAAATTTCTAGTCAGGCTTCGTTTTGAAAATGTTCTCTTTCCTCGAAGTTGCATGGGCGAGGTACCAATTGGTGACGTACTAAACAGAATCCGAGGTTACAAGAAAGATGTGTTCTAAATGATGCCCGAAGAATATGGAAAACAATCAAAGATGTCTCATATGTGACTTGTCTGTTCATTCTTTGTCCATTTTGTTGTTTGTTCTTTCCTCTCTGTCTTTTTCCTAAATTTGCATTTTTCCATTAAAACATACAAACAACTGAAATTCTAAAACAAGTCATCCCAATATTAGCACTTTAAAAAAAATCTAAAAACCAATAGAATAATTTAGTTTTTTCTATGTATTTTCTATTAAAAATATGTCTTTACCATCATGAAATTTTATAATTTCATTCCCTATTAGAATTTTATAAATTCGTTTTCCTAGCATAAAATTTTATGTTCGTCCCCGAAAACACGTAACAAATAATATTTATCGTGGTTCGATTTTGTCTATATTTAGAAATGAGAAACAATAATTTATTATAAATGTGCATATAATGAAGAATACAAATACATGGAAGTCTCTGTATCTCACAATTAATCTGGTATATATTTCTTAATATCCCCTACAAAACTCATCTATGTAACATACACCCTAATAGTTGCAAAGATCACAAAATTACTATATTTCTCCAAAATAATTCATATTACATTTCTCCAAAATAATTCTCTCTTATAATTCGAAAGGTTAAGACATTTTAAATTTAAATGGTTAAATACTTGGTCTTTGAAAAACCTAAATTCATAAGAATTCTTACATAAATAATCTTAATTATCAAGTAATCTTCAACCAATAAAACTAAAATAGAATTTAATTTAATTATAAATTTAACAATCTCTACTGACATAAATTTCATTCGGACATTAATTTTGAATAAAATCCAACTTTATTATTATTAGTTACAATTTAGATGACAGAGACATCACCACCAAAATTTGAATTGTTCCACAATAAATTATTTTATTATATTAGGGAAAAGATAATAAAGAGATTTTTTATTCCAGCATTTCATCACCGGCAAATTAGGTGGCAAAACATGCCCTAAACCAAGAACAACACAACACTCTCTTCTTTTGAATGCAAACGATTAATTAAAAAATTACATTTCACTAACTAAAGCTTCTTCCAACAATGTTCTTGAGCTCTTCATCAGAGCAGGACTCAATCTAAACATCAAGGTGCAAAACTCCATCTCATCCAACCCACCATCTCCATTCAAATCACCTTCGCTCACCATGCAAACCAGTTCATCATCGCTCATACCTTGCAACCCAAGCAATGCCAAGTTTTTCTTCAAGCTCTCGACGGTGATCATCCCTTTCTGCCCATCCATCAAAAAACGAAACCCATTGCACAGCTCCTTCATGAACCCTTCTGCGCCTAGTTTATCCACCATTGCAGGGAAAAAATCCTCGAACACAATCTCATCTCCCGCTGCCATTTGAAAAAATACCCTAAAAGTATTTCAAATGGCATGCAAATTGCAATGTGAGAGTAGAGAAAGGGTCGCGTAGATATTGGGGTTTTATAACTTTACGTAAGCAGAAATATGGGAGGAACAAAGGAAGGATTGTCGACGACAACGAATGTAAAGTTAAGATGAAGTTGTTCGGGAAGATGAAGGCCGGCTTTGTGTTCTCTTTCCTCGAAGTTGCATGGGGGCGGTACCATTTGGGGACGCAGTTTTTATTCTTTCGACATAAGAGACGATGTTTTGGATTTATACGTGTAATTGCGTGCTTGGAACACGAAACCTAGTTTGTCTAGTTTTGAGCCACCAGCAGTTTAGTTATAGAATCGCAGTTTGCACTTCAGGGTCACGAGATTGTGCCTTTCCATTGATGTTGCTAGGTATAAAGCTTGGTCCAATTTTTATTCTGGTCCTTGTACTATGTTAAAATTTAATCTTCATACTTTAATTTGATGTAACTTGAGCAGTTACTGTAGAGTATGCATACGTTGTCAATTGATTTAAAAAGTTCTGAATAAATATTACCTTGTAATCATATTATACTATTAGAAAAACTTGAGCATCATACTTTTACAAGTTAGTTGCTACTTTCTAATGATACCATAACTTAATGACAAAGTTGAGGTCATTATAACTTTGAGATCCTAAGTTTAAGTATCAGTACTATACGTAAATAGTAAATATGGGTTCTCAATTCAGATTTTATTTTGATTTAAGATCATCATATATATAATAATGTAGAGATTTATTCTGGTCACATTTCAATTCTATTCATGACTATATAGATATATTGATTGCAATTATAATTTCGTTTTTCAATTATATTGATTAATTCTGATTATAGTTATATAAGTGTATTGATTATAATTATATCATGAAAGAAAATATTATTAGTTGGACTATGTTGTTTCATTAGAATTTAAAAAAAACCCTTAAATATTCAGTTAACATTTAAGGTTTTTAGAAAGAAAAAAAATGATGTTAACGCTTTAATAAGAATAGGTAACGACGATAACAATTTCTCTTATAAATAGGAGGACCAAGTTACGTATCAAATTAAAGCGTGAGGATTAAATTTTAATATAATAGAAGGACTGGAATCAGAATTTGACCTATAACGTTTTTGTTTTTCTGAAAATATGCAACTTCGAATGAGTTAGATGTGTCGCTTTCCTTCCGGCTCTTCCAAATTGATATACACACTACATGCAAAGCACTATTGCCGAAGTATGCACCATGGGAGTAGAATACTCGAAAATATCTTTTCAAATAATGTTGGACCACACACCTTCCTAATTGTGTTTATTTTTATACGCTTTAGAGATAATTAATTGTTTTTTTACTAACATATTTTTTTTTCAATATTTTTGTCCCGTCTTCCTATTTCGCTTACATTTTTATTTAATCGACGATGACACCAATATTAATATTGATTGCTGACCATCGGTGATTATGTTTTTTTTCTTCATACTGTCGTTTATTTTTCCTTTTCTATTTTGAGTTTTTTTCAATTTTAAATAGGAATCTATTTTATTATGACATCATTTTCTCAGCTCTTGTGCCACGTTCTTTATGGCTTTTGGTACGTTTTTTGTATACCTCTGCGGTCGTGTTGGTGCTCGCAAAAAAAATATCATAATATTTGTTTTCTGATTGGTTTTTCAGTGGTCATGTATTCTTAGATCTCCTCTTGGTAAAAGATTATTTACCGATATAATTAGAATTGTGTAGTAAAATAGTCTGCCAAATTAATTATTTCGCTCACCACTCCTTTATTACTTCGTAAAACTTATCGTTCAATTGGCGGATCCAAAAATTTAAGAATGAGAGTTCAAAATTTTAAATTTTTTTCTTAAAAATAACGAGTACGCAAAAATTGTAATTTTTTCTTAACACATTAAGCTAAATTTAACCAATTTTCCAAAATAATAGGGATGCACTTGGCCCCTATGCGGGCTTAGTGCATCCGCCACTGGTTCAATAGAGACTATAAATTTTATGAAGGTTACTGAATTCTTTTGTTGTTAGACATAATCTTGGAAGGTTTTTATTTTTATTCGTATCTTTGGGTTTAAATTTTTTGTTTCATGTATGAGTTTTTTTTACTATTACCCCTGTTTTTCTCAATGTTTTGGGTGCAAAATAATTTTAATTTATTTTATTACTTTTATTAATGAAATCCAGTTGTGGTTGTTTAAAAAAATTATTGGGTTGGTCAACATATTATTATCCTCCTCCACGTTATTATATATTATTATTATTCGAACTGATAATATGCAGTTTTCAAATTAATTTTATCATGATTAGTTTTAATTT